TAGCCTTCTAGAATGATACTGAATTAATTTCAGGTTGTACTATACCAAAGGCTCTCCCTGCTAAGTCTCTTCCCATCCAAGGTGGAGAAAAGAGTTAAAGTAATTTGTACAATGAAGCTAAGTCTATTTAATATAGAAGAAGGTCATCCCTACATCCCCAAATGCAAGTTTGATTTGGAGGTGATGTGGTCTTATTGCGCCCCATTACTAAGAACTCTTTCTCTTCACTGCCTTTTTCTCTTGGCCCAAGCATGGGCTTAAACAAATTCAGACATATATAAGGGAAATCCCAAGATGAGACATGTATAGAGAAGCCATAGGGGAACTGTACCCTGGAGATGGGTAACTTACTACCTTACTGTAGTGCCTTGGTCTTCCACCCCTGTCACTCTCCTAACAGAGTATGGCCTAAGCAATCACTTTTTCTTTCCTATAGATATCAGGCTTCGGGTGAGGGCTGAGTACTGCCAGCATGAGACAGCTCTTCAAGGCAACGTCTTCTCAAATAAGCAGGACCCACTTGAACGCCAGTTTGAGCGTTTCAATCAGGCCAATACCATCCTCAAATCCCGGGACCTGGGTTCCATCATCTGTGACATCAAGTTCTCCGAGCTCACCTACCTCGATGCCTTCTGGCGCGACTACATCAATGGCTCCCTTCTGGAGGCGCTCAAAGGTGTCTTCATCACAGACTCACTTAAACAGGCTGTGGGCCATGAGGCTATCAAGCTGCTGGTGAATGTGGATGAGGAGGACTATGAGCTAGGCCGACAGAAACTCCTGAGGAACTTGATGCTGCAGGCACTGCCCTGACCCTCCTTTCACCTTTCACAAATCTGGGAGCTCAGTTTGGCACCCACTTCTGGAGTTCACACACTGTTTGGGGTTTTCTCCACACCCCTCCTGTCACCTTCGCTCCCCCCCTTCTTTTTTTTAAAGGAAAAGACAAAAAAGTGAAAGTGGTGTGTCTCCCCATCTCCTCCCCGACCCAGACTTCCACAAGCCTGGGAATCCAGCCTGGGCAAGGAAGGAAGAAGCAGTCTTGTCGCAAAGTGCTCTGTGGAACCACTGCTGAAGTGGTTTGGGGGGAGGGCGTAAATAGGAGGCTCTCAATCGCCCTCAGGCTTCATGAGGGCTAGTTTTGTTTTGTTTTGTCTGAGAAACCAAAGGGCTGTGGTGTGGGAGCTTGCTGGAGAGAGTTAAGAGTCAGGGTTGTATCATGGGGATTTACCACCACATTCCCTCCACCCTACTGAGATTGTAAGGAACAAGTTGAACAACACTTTTAAAGGTATGGCTTCCTCACTTGCTCACTCCTGGCCCCTGGTGCTTCCCTCTCTTTCCCTCCATCTCCCAGGGACAGAGATTAGGGGCTCTTTTCCTAGTCTTGGTCCCTCCTTTACCCTTTGTCAGCTCCTCTTCTAGGAAGCAGTGAGAAGGGAGGACTGGGGCATCCCGAGAACCCCTTGTCTGTGCACTTTTGTGCACAAGTGCCTGTATGTATGCAGGATTGGGGTGGGGGGGAAGGTTGCTGGTGGTAGCACACACTCCCTGAGAAAGGGGTGTGTGACATTTTTCCTTCCATGTTTAAGTGAAAATAAATGTATCCTGCAGCCCATTTCCATCTCTTTTTGTGGTCTGGCTTGGGGTGGAGTTGGAGCTGGGACATCCCCTTGAGCCTTATCTCAGCACTGCTTTTCTCTTCCTAGTCTTCAGTACTTGAATAGCCCCCATTCCTTCTTAATCCTGAGGATTGGGCTAGGACAAAAACTCACTTCCGCACTTGTTTTAAGGAGTAATGAATGGGCCTTCTTGCTACTATAGTCGAGCCATGTTTGATGCTATACTCTTTTCCCCCACCCCCAAAGGAGATGTCGAGACTTGGACTTCATGACTATATTTTTTCAATGTCAGTGCTGCTCAGACTTCGGTGGAGCTTTAGTTTTCATAAAATTGTGATTTAAGAGCTCATCTATATGCAACTGAAGTCTGAACCCATAAAAGCATTTTTTGGGGCTTTACAACAGGTTGAACCTGTATGCCACAAAGGAAAGGGAGTAGAGGTTCTTCAGTGGCCTGGGGTCCTGCCTCCAAGCCACAGATCCTCATTGGCCCAGAATAGGACCCTGTTTCAGTCAGCTGGTGTGAAGGCAAGGATTTGGGCGACCCAAATTGCCATACAGGTCAGGCCTTCGGTGTTGGGCCACAGGCATATGCTGGCGTACTTGGCGCAAATAGGCCAGGTCAATGTGGGCAAGGCAGAGGCCTGGCCCCTCAGAACATCGTGCTACCACAACTCCCCAGGGGTCCACCACCATACTGTGTCCATAACTCCCTCTTTTTTCATGGTGCTGTCCCCACTGTGCTGCTGCAACTACATAGCACTGTGTCTCGATGGCCCGAGCCCGGAGCAGCACCTGGGGAGAGAATGAAGGTAGATGCAATCATCTTCAGCATCTGGAGGGGAGAAGTGGGAAGGAGAAGAGCAGTGACCTTTGGAAGCAAGTATTCCCCCACTCAGCTGAGAGACAATCATGGGGAGCCAGGAAAGAAATACATCTCTTTCTAGTGGGATAGGTAGGTGCTGTATATTGGTAAGTTCTCACCTCCCAGTGGGCTGGTCCTGTGACTAAGCCAAAGGCTGAAGGGTAGGTGAGAATTTCTGCACCATCTTGGGCCAGTGCAAGGGAAAGCTCTGGAAAACGCAGGTCATAGCAGATGGCCAGGCCTATCTGGGATGGAGGAAAGTAGAACATTTAGTTTCTCTGGTGTACTGGCCACTCTTCGTACTATTCCACTGTTATCTTGCCCCCTCCAACATATTCCCATTCCTTTTCCCCACTTTAACCTCCTCCCTTCCCTCCCTGCCAACCTTGCCAGCTGGTGTACTGACAGGTGACCCACGAGTGGGCCCAGGTACAGTAGAGGTGCTCTCACATATGGATCCCTGTCCTGGAAGCTCCACATCACAGAGGTGTGTCTTCCTATATGTGGCCACAATAGAGCCTTGGGAGTAGAAGAGGAATACTCTGCTGATGATTCTATATTCCCCGGCTGCCCCCAGAGAGGGAACTACTTATAGTTAGGAACCAGAGGCACAGACGACATGTCCACAAGGTGTATGTGTTTGGGAGGGAGGAGGAGGGACAAGAGGAGCAGAGGAAATCCAACTGGTGAATGGCCTTGAGGGCTTGGTAAACGGTCTCCAAGGTCTCTGGGCAGGGAAAGTGGAGGGAGGGAAGTTGGAGGCTGAAAAGGGGATTCTAGGAAAGCAACTCAAAAGGGCAGGAGAGGGCTGAGAGAGGAGTTAGGAACTTAAAGTCTTACCCTTATTGTCCAGAAGCACGTGACAATTATAGATACGCTGAGTCTGCTCCCAGTCTTGCCCACGTTCGTGAAAACCACCGAGAGATATCCAGAGTCCACATTCTCTGTAGAAAAAGCAACAGACAACCCTTCTCAGAACCCTGTCTCCATCACAGTCAGCTGAATCTACTAACCCACAGTGTGCCTCCTTTGCTGCCTTCCATACCTGGCAAGTCGGGCATACCGATTCACAAGATCCCCATCCAATGGCTCAGACAGCTGAAGTGTCTCTGCTGGGTCACGGGCAATGAAGTCGAAGGCCTCAGGGAGGAAGGCCAGGCAGGCACCCAACTTGGCAGCCTCCTGAACTAATCCTGAACAGGCTGCAAAGGTCTGTTCCTTATCTGGTGTTGATGTCACCTGGCACACTGCTACCAGGGGCAAACCTCGAGAAGAGGAGGAGACAGCCATGGTCCCAGGCCTGTGAAGAACAGAAGATTCAGACATCCCCAAATGGAGAAAGTGAGAGCTTAGAAGAGAACTGGACATTTTCTCTATACATATTCCTGACCCTGACTTTGGTCTCTGACAAAGAAGGAAAACCAGCAAACGTAGACTAGTGGTCAACTAGAGTTCCAGTTCTCATTCTGACAGTATCCTTAAGTCACTCAGTAAGTAAGTCACTCATCCTCCCTCGGCCTCAGCTGGCTGTAAAATGTGCACAATACTTAAGCTGTACTGGGTTGTTGTTAATTAAGTGCTTTGTAAACTATGAAAAGCTATACATGCAGATAAACAGATGAGCTGCTATTATTGGTCTACGTATCTCTAGAACCAGTTAGGACCCTTCCCCCTTCCCCCACCGTGATCGGAAGTGGGGAGAGGGGGCTTCACCTGCTGTGCCTGGTGCCCGCTGGGTCACGGAGTTGAGAGAGACCAGGCAGCCGGAATGCAGATCGCAGCAGGAACAGGCACTTTCTCTGCGTCCAAAGGGTGGCGCTCAGCCTGGGAAAGGTAAGGATTCCAGGGTTCTCCCGCTAGGACAGCCAGCTGCCCCTTCTGTGCCCACAAGCCACGTGACCAGGGCCGACCTCTGGCCCCTTCCCAGCCGGCTCTGTCAAGCCCGTCTCCTAGCCTCGGGACGCTAAGCCCCGGCGAGTGGGGCACAGCCGGAGCACTGGACCTCCGTGGCCCCGGCTCGCCGCCGCCCGCCTTCAGACTTCTCTTCCGAGCGCGCAGGTCACTTATTGACCTAGGACAAGTCTCCTCTCGCTCCTGACGCCGGGAATCCCTAAGGGCAAGAAAACCATTCCCCACCCCGCCCCAGCGTCCCACGTCTGCACCCACTTCCCAGACCCCAGCCCCTCGACCAGACACGCGCAGCCTCTGACTCAACTCGACCTTTCCCTCCTCCCACATCCCTCCCGTTCTAGTACAAGAGGAGGCCACAGAATAGGATCCTACATGGAGCCGGAGCCTCGGGGAGGGGGTGTCCGCAGCTCCCTCTTTCGCCTCCCGCCCAAAGGTCTTGAAGCTTTGGGGCCATAGGGCACCCGGAAATGTCGGGCCCGCCCACCGGATGTGCCCCTAACCAAGATGGCGCCCGAGGCACAAGGATCCAGAGGAGGCTGGGACGGAAACGTCCGGATGTGACGCACAAGGAGGCGAGCTTGGGCTTCTAGGGCTCTAGACCTAGCGGGTGGGTAAAGATGGCGGAGAGTAGCAACCGGAGTAACAAGAGTAGCGGCAGCAGCGGCAGCGGCGCTGGCAGCGCGGCCAAGGGGGCGGTGTCGGCGGAGCAGGTGAGCCCAGCTGCCCGCACGGCGACCCCGGCTCTTGTTTTAGGGGCCGTGGGGGCGGGGTCCGTGGCACGTGCGGTGCCCTCCGCCGCAGCCCGGGCTTGTGGACCTGGGCAATCCTGGAGCCCCCGCTGCGGAGGGAGAGGGCGGGCGCGCGGATGGCGCGCAGGGAAACCGGCGGTGTCTGTGCTCTGTGTGAATATGGACAAGACGACGGGCCCAGGGTGGGGGAGCCCCTCCTGACAGGAATGTGGGACAGCAGCCCCCAGCCCCATCCGTGGCTGTGACCCCTGAAGAGGCCGATCCCCAGTTTTCAGTGATTTTGGGAAAGGACCCGAGGCTGGCTGGAGAGGACCAGGCGCCCCCCCCCCCGTGAAAGAGCCACGTGAGGCCTGAAATCTACAAGTGTAGGGGAGCTCCGTGGCCTTCGAGGGTGCGGGCCAGCGCCCCGAATCGGTCCTTTAGCTTGTTGGGGGAGATTTCCCCGCGTTCTGCACTGTGGGCCCTTGACAGTTGGCGTTCTGGGCTAGCTTAGTTTCAGTCGGAGCTCTAAGGTCCACCCCTCCTGCGGTGCGGCAGGCAAGTCCCCGAGGGCATTTACCTGCGAGATGGGGATGCAAAAAGAGGCAAAACTGGTCCCTGCCCTCAAGGAGCTTACAGTCTTTAGAGGGAAGACATGCGAACAAACGTGTACAAACAGCTAGATATAGGGAAGGCTTCCTGTAGAAGGTTGGATTTTAGTTGGTACTAGTAGGGGGCCAGAGAAGCCCCCAGGCAGGGGGGACAGCCAGAGAAAATGTGTTCAGCTAAGATGGAACATCTTGTTTAAGAAACAGCCAAGAGGCCAGTGTCACTGTATCGAAGAATATGTGGTGGGGGAGTAAGGTGTAAAAAGATTGGAAAGGTAGGAGGGGACTAGGTTATTAAGGGGTTCGACTGCCAGAGGATTTTGTATTTGTCCCTAGAGGCAATATGGAGCCACTGGAGTCTGAGTGACATAGTTGGACCTACACTTTAAGAGAATTTTTATTCTTTTCCTTTTTAAAAAATCTTACAAGCTAACCTTCTTAAACATTGGTGTGACCATGTCAGTCAAAATCACTACTCAGTAAAGTCTATTAGCTTCCTTTAGTATCAAATATAAAATCATCTTTGGCCTTTAAAGCCCTTTGAAACCTGGCCCCCTCCTACTTTTCTGTTCTTGTTACACTTTGCTCCATATAGTCTATGATTCAGGAACGTGGGTCTCATTTATTTATTTATTTGTTTGTTTATTTTTGGTGAGGCAGTTGGGTTTAAGTGACTTGCTCAGGGTCAAACGGCTATTAAGTGTCAAGTGTCTGGTCTGAGACAGGATTTGAACTCAGGTCCTCAGGGCTGGTGCTCTATCCACTGCACCACCAACTGCCTGTAGGGACCATGGGTCTTCTTGCTGGCTCTTTAAACATGCCATTCTACCTCCTGGCCCTCCTTAGAATGCTCTACTTCATCACTTCCACTGTTTGAATTCCTAACTTTCCTAGCTTCCTTCAAGACTCAGCTCAAATCCCACCTTCTGCTAGAAGCTTTTCCCTGCTTTCCCTCTCCCATTCCTTCTGAGATTAACTTCCATTTCCCCTGTATGTGTACATCTTTTATGTATAGACTAATTTGGATCTGGTCATCTCTGGCCATGCCAGAAAACATTGGAACAATATGGTATAAGGGAAAGGGAAATAGAGAGTTACATATAAGCATTTGGCTAGGAAAAGGAAAAAAAAAACAGTAGGAAAGATCATCTGTAGATAGAAAATTCTGGGAGCAGGGCATAGCATTCCCATGAGAGTTAGCTTTGGATTATTTTGCTTCTTTAAAAATTTGCAGCTAAGATTTTGGGTAGCTGCTAAAAGTATTATCTTTCTATACAGGAATGGCTGAAATTCTCTTAACAAATTTAAATGGGTTTAATTTGATGTGACATCTGATTCAAAATTCACTTCTATCCTAGAAGCATCTCTGATCCTCATTAGTTAACAAGAGTAATTTTATTTTGTTTTTTAAATACCAACTTCCCTTAGTTGTTTTAATCTCATGGATTCAAGGATTGATTTTATTTCACAAAGTAATACATTTTGAGTGTGGGCTCAGAAAATGTTACCTTTTCAGGTAAGTTCTCCTAAGTAGGTTCCATCATTTGTGTTCACACAGAAGTCATTGGGATGTTGTTGGAGTCCAAGTTGATCAATCAGTCAATATTTGTTAAGCACCTGCTATGTGTCAGGCACTGTGTTAGATTCTAGAGATTGAACAAAATCCAAACAGTCCCTGCCTTATATTCTGACAAGTTGACAGCATATACCTATATATGTAGATGTAAGAAACCTGGGGGAGGGAAGGTACTAGGAATTAGGGCATCAGGAAAGGCCTTATGCAGAAGGTGATGCTTGAGCTGACCCTTGAAGCAAACTATGGGTTCCAAAATCGGGGAGTGAGTAGAAAGTGTGTTCTAGGCATGGGAGACAGCCAGTGCAAAGGCATGGAGATAGGAAACAGTGTTATATGTGATGACCACCAAGAAGGCCAGTTTGGCTGGATCATAGAGTATATGAAGGGAAATAATGTACAGTAAGACTGGAAAGGTGGGATGGGGCCAGGTTATAAAGGGCTTTAAATGCTAAAAGAAGGCATATTTATATGGAAGGACTGAAGTTTATTGAATGAGGGTGGGAGTGTGCCACATCATCCCATCTGAGCTTCGTCGGCTGTGTGGAGGATGAATTGGAATGTTGAGAGACTGGAAGTAGAATGACCAATTCGAAGGTCATTTTATTGAGCAGCAGAAGCCAGAAGAGGATTTTAAATAGGGACAAAGCAAATACTGATATATTGCATAGTGAGTGAGGTACCAGAAGTAAGGAATTCTGTAGGGCTAAGATAGTAACTATGTTCCATTCTCTGGATATTGGAATAGAGAAGGGAGGGGGTCTTGCGAGGAAAGACTATAGGGAAGAATAGAAGATTTGGCACTGAATATGATTAGGTCAGGGTTTGGGTTAATCTCTCTGGTTTATGCTCTCAGTCCTAGGCAGAAGGTACAGAGAGAGCAAGCCCGGGGAACAGCAAGATGTGGGGAGACCCTCCGTACTTTCTCTCCTAACACATACTAATGTTAATACTTGTCCTGGCCATTAGCCTGCATTTTTTGTGATAGGAGTCATCCCTTAAGGGAAGACCGTTTCAGACAGGGATAAACAAGGCCAAATTGAGACCCCTGATTTATATCTCAGCATGTAGGCTACCACCTAAGGAGCTGCTCTCTTGCCATCTCCATAGGGTTCTGTCCCTCACCTCATCTCTCTTCTCTCCTAGGTGGTTGCTGGCTTCAACCGCCTTCGTCAGGAACAGAGGAGCCTGGCATCCAAGGCAGCTGAGCTAGAAATGGAGTTGAATGAGCACAGGTGAGAGGTCGGGGGAAGAAATAAGAGTTGGGGGTGAGGGGGAGTCTGTGCTCTGTTGGGGCTGTATCCTTAGACCCTCTCCTTCCTACCCTAGCCTAGTGATAGATACCCTGAGAGAAGTGGACCCAACCCGGAAGTGCTATCGAATGGTTGGAGGGGTCCTGGTGGAGCGAACTGTCAAAGAGGTGCTACCTGCCTTGGAGGGTAACAAGGAGCAGGTGAGAAGGGAAAGGACGAGGGGGGGGGCAGGAAAAGGGAGGAGGTTAGGAACTTATATTGAGATCACTGAGTAAGAAAGACATCTTGTCAAAGCCAGCATCTGTGTCTTTTGAGTTAGGCCCATTCTTCTTATGGGCTTTTCAACTGGGCTGAGCTGTGGGAGGGAGTAGGGCAACAATGGTTTTATTTCTTTTTCTGAACTCATCAGTTGGGTTGCTTAATCTTGGTTAGAGGTGGCCATTGAGGTGAGATTTCTCCTTTACTTCCCCTATAAACAGCTTATTACCAGGGAGGAGGAGTATCAGTATTCTAATGTAACACTAATTCTTACCCACCAGATTCAAAAGATCATTGAGACACTGACCCAGCAGCTTCAAGCAAAGGGAAGGGAGTTGAATGACTTCAGGGAGAAACATAATATTCGGCTAATGGGTGAGGATGAGAAGCCAGCAGCCAAGGACAATGGGGAGGGGTCTGGGGCCAAGGCCAGCTCAGCTGGCGTGCTAGTCTCCTAAGAATCAAGACCTCTGTCATGTTTTTTCTCCGATGCCTCTTATACCCTTTATTATTATTTTTCTTTGTTGCTGCTCTTGTAATATTTTTGTTAAATAAATGGTTTGGTCTCAATGCCCAGTTCTGGTCTGAGGCTTTCTCCTGTGTTACTGATAAAAATTGAGAAGAGTGACCAGGTCAAGACTCACTCAGATGAATTATACAGATAGCTAGTGGCTCTTATGATAGGCTAAAAACTCAGAATGTCACCACTAGGACTTTCAATGTCCCTTCCCCACCCCCAGAACAGATGAAGAGAGTCTGTGTCTGACTTCCAGATTAGCATTTAATGAATAACTTCATAGGTCTGGTAGCATAATGCTTTGTGTGTCTGCGTGAACTGAGGAAGCTGATTTCCCTGGCTCAGAAAGATAGTTGTAGTGTGTAAACATCTGGACTAGCTGTCCTGCCATCCTCACCAAAGCCCCCAACTAGATAGAGCTGGTCATTCCAGAGGCAGGTTCGATGGCCTACCCGTTTCATGCTTCGATCTGCACATGGGAATCGGAACCATCGATGGGTCGATTTGCCTGTGGGGAAGGAGACACTTTAGGATATAGAGTTGGGAAAATTACCTTATTTAAGATCTGTCCATTCCCTTCCCCTTGGCCCTTTCCCTATATTTAGTAATCCACTGCTGCCTGACTAAACATGTGCTAATTCCCCCTCTTCCTTGCCCTATTTCCCCAACCTGACTCCCTTTGTACTTCCTCCCTATCCCAACTGCTCCCAACTATTAGGACAGCTCTCACGAGAATCATAGATGTAGAGCTCATTGCAGACTGTGTCCCGAGCTCTGGTCAGAGTTTCTCCACCAAACAGCACAGCAAAGGGCCCCACCACGGAGCAGGAATGGTGCCGAAGACCCCGGGGTCCCTCCAGAGACCCTTGCTCACCGCTCACTAACTTGGAGACCTGTTCTGTCAGCCGAGAGGCAACAACCGGCTCCTCCTGGAGGGTGGGGGGCAAGACAAACCGGAAGGGATTGGGGGCACCGCTGCATAGTGGTTATGAGCTGGCGTGGAAGCCACCTCTGACGGACTGGCTGTGTGACCCTGGGCAAGTCACACATCTCTCAGTGGGTCTGCAGATCCCTTGAGGGATCCCAGGGACAGATTCTGTGGTCTGTTGAACGTGGATGAGGAAAAAACTTAGATCCTCACTTCAACATGACTGGTCTCCTTTGTAATCATACGTTGCTTTATGCATTTAGCACCAGTATTCTGGGGGGGCGTTCACAGGCTCCAGCTGGGCTGCCAAGGGGTCCCCGACCCCGCCTCCCGCGGAGCACTCACCTGGATCTGCCCCGGGCCCCAGCGCCCGACCACTTCGGGCTCGGGGGAGTTGCAGCCCCCAAAGAGCAGGAGCTGGTGGCCGGGGTGGGGGCCGCCGGTGCGGAGCAGCGCTGCGCAGTGGCCCGAGCGCGAGGCCGTGTGGCCGCCCTCTTCACAGTAGCTGCGGGGATGGACAGTTCAGGCCGGGCGCGGGCCGGGCAAGGAACCCGCGCGTGCCTCCCGCGGGGCCTCCCTACCTGTAGGTGCGCGCGGACGGGTCCACGCGCAGGGTGTAGACGCTCCCGTAGCGGCGCTGGGTGCGAGTGCCGCCCTCGCGGCCGGCCACGCGCAGCTCGTAGTCCGACAGGCGGGTGCAGGTGTGGCTGCTGAGCCCGGCCGGGGCACAGCTGCCCAGGGCCGCGGACCACGCCTCCCAGGCCCCGAGCTCCGCATCCAGGGCCGCCACGGCCGCCACGCGCCGGGACCCGTCCCAGCCGCCCACCACGCAGAGCCAGCGGCCGTCCAGGGCCACCGCGTCGTGGTGGCTGCGCCGGGGCCCCCCGGGGCCGCCCGCGCGCTCGGCCTGGCCCGCCCCCGGGTCAAAGGTCACCGCGTCCCCGAGGGGCTCGCGCGCGCCCCCGCACGACAGGCCCCCGACCACATAGAACCGGTCCCGCAGCACGGTGCACGAGTGGAATGCCCGTGCCAGGAGCGGATCACTCGCCACGGGCCGCCAGGCCCAAGCAGGACCCCCGGCTGCGGCCATCGGGGGTGTGGGTCAGAGGACGAGAGGTATCTCTGCCCGGCCCCGCCTCTCATCCGCCTAGTCCGCCCTCCGCCCCGCCCCCATGCCGCGCCCCCAGGCTCGCGGGAACCCCGCCCTCAGCCTTACCCAACCCCTCCCCCCCGGGGCGAGCTCTCCCCCACCTCAGAGCCCCGCCTTTCCCAGTGTTGCCCTGGCAACGACGACTGTTAGCAACTGCGTGGCCGGAAAGACTTGGTTACCATGGCGACGGGGACGCAAATACAAGTCTCTGTTACCAGAGTGGCTACCCAGTGTCCAGTAAGGTGTTTGTAGCTATGGCAACTAGAGGACGAGCGGTAGGGAGCGATCCTCCGAGAACTAATTGGGAGCTCCAGGGACTGGGTGGGTAAGCTCGAGTGGGGTGGAGAGAAGGGGCGAGGAACCCTGCTGTGCCCTTACCAGTGCCATGAATCCGGTCGAGGTGGACAGACAGGGGGCTGTGTCTCCCTGCCAGGCAGCTGGGGACTGCGGTTCTTTCTCTATGACTTCTGAGTTCCTAATCTGCACCCAGTCGTTAGGGATGTGATATGGCCTGGAGATTTGGAGACCTAGTTTCAAATCCTAGCCCTGCCACTAGCCTTCTAATAAATCATTCCATCTCAGGGAGTCAGTTTCTTCGATTTCTGTACCTCCAACAGTGCTTTGTACATGGTAACGCTTAATAAATGGTATTCATTGATTCATTCATTCCTTTTCGATAGAATGAGGGTATTGGAATAGATAGATGATTCTCAAATTAATTTGATTATTGGACTCTCTTGAGCTTGAAATACTGACAACTCAAAAATGCTAGTTTGAGTATCTGGATGCATGGACCCCCTCCCCCCATAAATATTTTAAAGCAAAATAGAGAAAATGTGCTTTTCTTCATACCAAGAAATTGTTATATGTAATAAATATTTCTGTTATATAGTCTCTTAAAAATGCAGAAGGCTCATTTCTAAAATATATAGAGAAGTCAGATTTATAAAAATACAAGTCATTCTCCAGTTGATAAATGGTCAAAGGATATGAACAAGCAATTCTCAGATGAAGAAATTAAAGCCATCTGTAGTCATATGAAAAAATGCTCTAAATCACTATTGATCAGAGAAATGCAAGTCAAAACAACTCTGAGGTACCCCACATCACACCTATCAGATTGACCAACATGACCAAACAGGAAAATGATAAATGTTGGAGAAGATGTGGGAAAATTGGAACACTAATGCATTGTTGGTGGAGTTGTGAAATGATCCAACCATTCTGGAGAGCAATTTGGAAACTATGCCCAAAGGGCTATAAAAATGTACATACCCTTTGACCCAGTAATAGCACTTCTAGGACTGTATCCCAAAGAGATCATACAAATGGGAAAAGGGTCCACATGTACAAAAACATTTATAGCATCTCTTTTTGTGGTGGCAAAGTATTGGAAATTGAGAGGATGCCCATCAATTGGGGAATGACTGAACAAGTTGTGGTATATGAATGTTATGGAATACTATTGTGCTATAAGAAATGATGAGCAGGCAGACTTCAGAAAAACCTGGAAAGACTTGTATGGTCTGATGCTGAGTGAAGTGAGCAGAACCAGGAGAACATATTAATAGACTTAACCCTTCTCAGCAATACAAGCAACTAAGGCATCTCCAAAGGCCTCATGATGGAAAATGCTAGCCACATCCAGAGAAAGAACTATGGAATTTGAATGCAGATCGAAGCATACTATTTGCAATTTTTTTTCTTCTGTTGTGTTTTGTTTCCTCTTTCTGGTGGTTCCTCCTATTGGTTCTAATTCTTACAACATCCCTAATATGAAAATATGTTTAATAGGAATGTATATGTATAGCCTATTTCAGATTTTGTGCCATCTTGGGGAGGGAGGGGGAGAAAAATTTAAAACTCAAAAGCTTATGAAAGTGATTGTTGATAAATCAAAATAAATTTTAAAAAGTACAGAAGGCTGATTTATTTATATGATGCTTCAGTATTTAAGCAGACCTCTTATCTCATCTGTATAAGTGCTCCCATCCGTTGATACAGCTCATAGTTTGTCCATATCTTCTCATCCTGCTCAATTCTTGGCCATGTTTTCTTATATTTCCTCCACAGAAAAGAATTCTCCCAAAATACTAGGAGTCTTCCTCTAGGCCTTTCTACATTTTTTTCCATTTTTTAAACTAGCATTTTATTTTTTCCAATTACATGTAAAGACAATTTTTTAGACATTCATTTTTAAAAAATTTTGAGTTCTAAATTTTCTCCCTCCCTCCCGTTTCCCCTCCCTAAAGAGGTAAGAATTTAAAATAGGTTATATATGAACAATTTCTACATTTAAAAACATGTTTAATTGTTACTGTTTTATTATAAAATCAGTCATTTCCCAATAATTTCCCATTACCCCCAATCGAATTCTACCTTTGTAACAAATAAGTACACTTAATCAAAACATACCAACAGATTGGCCATATATAAAAATGAATGAATCATTCTGCACTTAAAAGTCCACTACATCTCTACCAAGAGACAGTAATCATGTTTTATCATGGGAATGCTGAAGTTACAATTTGTCATGTTACCCATCAGAGTTCTGGTTTTTAATTTTAACTTTGTTTTTATTATGAATTCAATTTGTCATGTTACCCATCAGAGTTCCGGTTTTTAATTTTTAACTTTGTTTTTATTATGAATTTATAAACATCAGCCAAAATAAATGTTTCCATATACAAAGAACAGAGAAAGAGACTTATGTATGAAATAATTAACCTCTTACACAACAACTTGGGTTTTGGACACATATATTAAATTTAACATGGTCAACACAGCCCTGCTTGGCTGTGTCCCCTTCCAAACTCCCCTCTATTCCCTTATATGTATTTTTAAATGTTTTGTGGAAGCTCTTTTCTTGCTGTCCTTTTTTTTTCTTTTTGCATCACTATCACTACCCTTCTAGTACTTCCCACAACTCTCTCTAGCAAATAAATTTGTTTGATTATAACAAATAAGTATGATCAAGCAAAACAGATTCATGCATTGGGAACATCTGAAAATGTGTGACTCATTCTGAACCTAAGAAAGTATGTTTCATCATCAGTCTTCTAGAGTTGTGATTGGTTATTGCATTATAAGGGTTGTTAAGTCTTCAAAGGTGTTTTCCTTTACAGTAGGCAGTGTCATGAATTGTCCTTCTGGTTCTGCTCATTTTACTCTGTATCAATTCATCATACAGGACTCCCAGGTTTTCTGAGTCTGTCCCTTTTTTATATCTTATGGCACAATATTATTCCAGTACATTCATATGCTATACTTTGTTTAGCCAGTCCCAATTGGTGAATACTCATTTGGTTTCCAGTTCTTTGCTGCAACAGAAAATTGCTATAAAATTTTTTGTCTATATGGGTCCTTTCTGTGCCAAACCTATTTTAGGCCAGTCCAGTGATTCAGGCTGGGATTTAGAATGCAACAAGGTACTCATGGACTTTCCTCATAAATTGCAATAAAAACAACTTTATCAGTGACAAAGTTAAAAAATATATAATTCCTTTTTAAAAAAAATAATTCTTTATTTTTATTTATTTGTTTTTAGGCAATTGGGGTTAAGTGATTTGTCCAGGGTCACACAGCTAGTAAGTGTCTGAGGTCACATTTGAACTCAGGTTCCCCTAACTCCAGGGCTGGTGCTCTATCCATTGCTCCACCTAGCTGCCCCAAAATATATAATTCCTAATGAAACTCAAATAAAAAATGATTTTCTGTATCCTTACTCACTATAGCAATTAGCAACAGTTGGGAAGGCATCCCCAAAGGGCAATGGAGATTCTGCTAAAACCTCCAGAGCACCAATTTCCCGTAGCCTGGGCCTTTTATGCCTGGGGAGGGGCGGGGACAAGGAAGCTAAACCAATAAATAATTCAATCTCTAGTTACCTCAGGACAACAAAGTTCCAAGGAGGAGTTCCCTGCCCTCTAAAAAGGAAACCAGCTTAGTCTATATATAAAATAGCTGCCATTCCTGTCACATCCCACCCCTTCGTGTCAAGATCCCCTAAATTTTCTAGGGGACCTTCTACTATTAAAAAATTTTTTAAACAACTCTGACCTTGTGAGCATCACTAGAGGAGAAGCCTAATGCAAATTATTTTTTAAAAAGATCAAAAATAAAATAATACAATCTTCTAAAAATATAATTCATGTACCGTGGGTATTGTCAGGGATAATGCAGAGTAGATCTGATTTAAAAAACTAAACTAAATTAAACCATGATGGCCAAGAGCAGCACCAGGTCCATAGAATAGAGGAGGATACCTCTAACCGATCCCCATTATGGGTCTGGTTCATCTCTAGCAAGGCAGAGCCTGAATTAACACCAAGACTCACCCCATACCTCTACTCACTCAGTATTCCTCAATCCACCAGTTAAGACCTTCTCCTCCGTAGGAGCCCCCATGGGGGATGGTACCAAATTTTGGCCCATCTAGATGTCTCTACTGAGAGGCTGCCCTCTTCTTCTATGGTCTTGGATTAAGGCTCTCCTTCAACTTCATCTAGGGATCCATGCATGCCACCCCATCAGCTAAAGGATTCTCTTTCGTCCAGAACTTCTGTTCCCTATAATTATAAAATGACAATTTTACCTCTCCATATCATCACAAAGCAAAGCACCTCCCAATAATGCCACCTATTAATCTCGAAAGCCCTTTCTAGGAAGGAGTTGTTAGAATCAGCCTGGGGTAAAGGAAATCTGCCAATTAGGGGGGGATCTGAACCATTTCCCCAGGTTGTATAGAACATTGAGAGGGCAGAAACTTCAAGGCCCCAGCAACTCTGCCCAGGAAATGGAATAAGGAAGGGTTAGAGAGGGCTTAACTGGGACTATGTCTAAAAGTAGTCCATCTTCACCACTTCCTAAAGGTCAAATCTAAGAAACCACTGGACCAGAGCACTCTCCCACTTCTTGGTGTAGCACTAAATTATCAAAGA